GCGATGCACTGGTTCCTAGTAAAAAACTAAATGCCGGCAGATTCGGATCTACAATACTTTTGCAGCGCCCCAAGACTTTTGTATGCTGTCATGACCCATGACCTAAGGTGACTCCCTGACTCGGGGATTCGACATGTGACATGATTCTCAGAATCCTTCATTCTCCCTTTTTCCGCTCAAACTTGTTTTCTTGTTTGTTGCTGCATCTGCAAAAGAATATATCCAATCGTCCTCACCAGCCTCCGGCGGCACGTAGGGCCTACCCCACATTGCTTGAACTTTTGGACATCGCTAGCTGCAATTGAAGTGAACGTCGACCTGGCTCACACGTCTCTGATGTCAACCGTGACTATCCCAACAATCAGCCTTGCAACACGACCAGGGCAACCTGGTAACATCAAGTAACCCTTCGTTTGTTTGTGCTATCTTTTGCACCAATTCAACGAGTTCAATTCTCTTTCCAACACTCTCCCATTCTTCTGGACGGCTCTTTTTGAGAGGACCTGGAGAATGCCACACGCTGGGTCTTGGAAACTGCGGTGCCTTTGTCCGGCGAAATCTCTGCCTCGCCGTTGGAAGACTTCTGGAAAGCGCTGAGGACAGTGCATTTGTGGAACTGGCATGAGCCCCAAGGCCACATTAGCTGATAGTCGCGAATAGTACCTAACAGCAGAACAACTTGACCCAGAGGTTTTGTTGCTTTGTGAGTTGAATCAGTCAGGGCAAGAATTCGCACTTCTTGTGATGTTTTGTGGCATTCTGCAGGACCATGAGTACCATCAAGTGCCTTGCATAGAATAGAACATAATAGAACATCATCGAATCTCAGATTATGTTTTGCATCAGAAGAGCAATGTGGCACTATATACGCGGCTAGATGTGTCATCCATCTCTTTTGTGCATGGCATCGATGTCAGAGGTTCTGTGGCACGGACCCGGATGCGATTACATCATGGAGGACGAACACTCAGGCGGTGAAGGTGTCTTGGACAAAACGACAACGACACGCCCAGATTGAGATCAAACATTCGTTGGTGTTGCTTCAGGCTTCTGGGATGTTCTTCTTGAGAGTGAACATAGTGAGCAAGTTACTAGAAGCAGTTTTAGTTGAAGCTTGGTGTCATGGCGCTCCGCCAATTCGAAGCAGCAGTCATGGCGGCAGACCTCGCAGAAGTCAGGTCTACAAGCAGAAGTCCAGCACATCAGAAGAGCTTGCTGTGAAGGAGCGAGGCGGACATGCTTTCCTGTGGTCGAGTTCCGTTGGTCTTCCAGCCTTTATTTTTACAATGTGTTACTATTTGTTACCCTCTGAAGAATTGAAGCAGAAGAGGCGTGAACAAGGAATGCACCAATGCCGCAAACTGGGTCTGGAATGGTCTGGATAGTCTACATGTTTGCCCAAATGGGCTTGTCTTTTTTTAAGGTGTCCAGTTTATGTAGGGCTGGGATGTTCGACTTAGGCGAAGCATACCCCCGAAGCATACCCTGAAGCATACCCTCTGGAAATGCTACTACTTTAGTCTTCACACTGCGCGAAGCATACCCCGAAGCATACCCCCGAAGCATACCTCCGAAGCATACCCCATTGCCATAGTCAAACATCCCGGCCCGGGAACCTTAAAAAAATACAAACCCAAATAGTGCAAGCTACACCCGCTGATTTGCGCAAGCATTTAGCAATGGCATGCTTGAATGTTGCATGGACATTCGTGGACTCAAACGACGACAAGTGGCACTTCCAAAGAGCTAGAAGACATCAGTTCCTCCCACGGCCATGGGTGCCACACTCATCCAAACCCATCCAATATGTCTAAAGTCACGGCTCCCCCCCAACGACCGAGCCGGGCCGGGGCCATCCGGGGCCCTGCCCCTTGGGAGGCATGGTGGTGCGTGGAGTTCAACGTGGCAACTGGTTGGAACTCATTGAGGGTCAAGGCTTCATGCTCATCGTCTCAGACGCTGGGATGGCGAGATGTGGTGTGGGGAGAGGGCCATGAAGCCACAGACATCTAGGACCTGAGGCGAGTTGCCGATCTTCTTCACCTGATTCTGGTTAGGTTTAGGCTCTAACCCCATGGAATTTGAAGGGTTTCTACATGTTTGACTCCCACATGCTAGGGCTTGCTAGGGCCTGCCTTGCGAAGGCCCAAGCAAGCATGGGACTCAAGCTCCACTTTGGGAGGGCAACCATCGCGCAAATGAAGCACACCTGCACGTGGGAATGACAGGGTTGAACCAGATCCGGTGTAGCTTCCTGAAAGCGTGCCTGGACCCCAAATGTAACGTTGCTGTTTCGCCCGTTGGCGAAAACAGCACTGCTGGAAAGTGTGCAATAGGCTGGGCCCTGCTGATTGCTCCCCTTGTCGTGCTTCGTAGATGGTGGTGTTGTCAGACATAGGAGTAGCCAAGACTTCTGATCTACCTGCATTCAGGAGAAAACGGGCTTGTCCATCATGAAGCAAGACTCGGGCAACACCGGCGAGAGAGGCCTATGGGAGACGCCTCCCGGCTGAATGGACCACGAACACCATGTGGTCATGAAATGTCACGAAACTCTTGGATTCCTTTCATGGGCCAGTGCTCGACAGCGAAGCCTCGGGCAAGGTATCCTTTCGTCAGCGAGTGGTGGCGTAAGCATCTTGGCCATGAGGATTGACCTGGATCGGGCTATGCAACCAGTTGCGGCACATGCGATTCAAGACATCGATTCTGGAGCTTTGCGAAACCCTACGCCCTACGCCTCCTTGGAATTATTTGGACTTATTTAGGAGATTTCCGAGGTTAACGTGGTGGGTTGTTTCGTGCTGCCTGGGACGTTGGTGCGCGCCCAGTGTCGGTTGTAAAGAGTGTTGTAGTGTAGGTGCTTTTCAGGTGCCTGACTCACTGCATGGCTTTTGAGGCTCCTCTCCCAGGGTGTGAAGCAGAAAGCCATTGACTTCGTCTTCGTGGGCATTTTGACACTCCTCACTGATCGTCAACAGCAGCTTGGTGACGCATGGATGTGAAGGCGTGTTGATCGTTGTGGTAGGAAAACTATTTTCAAAAGAATCAGATGATCAAAGTTCAAAGATAGATTTTGCAGCAATCTTGCAGTCAAAGATTTGCAGCAAGTTGAGCATACACATGACTGACATGGCAAGCGTTCCACAAAAGGCGGCGCGGAAGACATCAGACTGGAAGCAACCGGCAACCATGGGAATGTAATCTCACTATTAAGTGCAGAACCAGAAGCTACTAGGAACAAAGGGCATGGCTACTAGGAGCAAGGACGCTTTGAGGAACAGGAAGCTACTAATTAGAAAAGGCCATCGAGACGAACGGAGCAAGGACGCTACCAGGAACAAGAAGCTACCAGTAACAAAGGGCATCGCTACTAGAAGCAAGGACGCTACCAGGAACAAGAAGCTACTAGTAACAAAGGGCATCGCTACTAGGAGCAAGGACGCTACTAGGAACAAAGGGTACCGCTAATAGGAGCAAGGACGCTACCAGGAACAGGAAGCTACTAGTAACAAAGGGAACCGCTACTAGGAGCAAGGACGCTACCAGGAACAAGAAGCTACTAGGAACAAAGGGTACCGCTACTAAGAGCAAGGACGCTACCAGAAACAAGAAGCTACTAGTAACAAAGGGCATCGCTACTAGGAGCAAGGACGCTACTAGGAACAAGAAGCTACTAGGAACAAAGGGCATGGCTACTAGGAGCAAGGACGCTACCAGAAACAAGAAGCTACTAGTAACAAAGGGCATCGCTACTAGGAGCAAGGACGCTACCAGGAACAAGAAGCTACTAGCAACAAAGGGCATCGCTACTAGGAGCAAGGCCGCTACCAGGAACAAGAAGCTACTAGTAACAAAGGGCATCGAGCAAGGACGCTACCAGGAACAAGAAGCTACTAGGAACAAGTGCATTTCTATTAGTGGCTAGTGTGCTACCAGGAACAAGGAACAAGGAGCTACTAGGAACAAGTGCGTTTCTATTAGTGGCTAGTGTGCTACCAGGAACAAGAAGCCACTAGGAACAAGGGCATCGCTATTAGTAGCTAGTTTGCTACCAGGAG